TATAAACTTAACATATTTTTCTTAAATATGTACATGCATGTGTGTGCATCTCACATCACAAGGGACTGATCTCATGTGAAATTTTGTTTTACTACATCTTCAGCTGCTACACTGTGGGCGATCAGCTGGGCAAAGGTGGATTCGGCGTGGTGTACGAAGGGAGACGTTTGGCGGATGACCTTAAAGTAAAAATATATTACCAAGCCACCAAATGTTTTTAACTCAACCCTAAGTGTATCTTAATTAACTGAAATATTTTTTGTTTGTTCGTCAGGTGGCTTTGAAATATGTCACAAAGACAGCACACAGAATGTATATTCATTGTAAGTAGATTGCAATATAAAAATATAAAATGTCTCATATTAATATTAATCACAATAAAATTAAGACTGAGCTAAATCCATATCTGAGAAACCACCTCCATGTAACCATCATAATAACTTAACTCTTCTCGCCTGATCATCCAAACCCTCTTCCAAAAGAAATCGCCCTCACCATCCTGGCAAATAAAGGTCCCAGCGTGCCAGAAATCATCAGGCTGCTGGACTGGCAGGACCACCCTGACCACTTCGTCATGGTCCTCGAATGTCCCTCTCCCTGTGAGTTCATGAGGTGTCACGGTGGAAGCCTCGATGAAGAAACAGCACGGCAAATCATGTGGCAGTCGGCTCAACGCTGCAAACATGTGCTGCCTCCGCGGAGTGCTCCACCGTGACGTCAAGCTTGACAACCTTCTGATAAACAGGGAGACATCCGAAGTCAAGCTGATTGACTTCGGATGCGGGGACATTCTGAGGAGGTCACCATACAAGTCATACCATGGTATGTATGATATAATTAATTTCTTCCTAATAGATACAGAACAGTCGTGCTGCATTAATGCAAACTTGCACATCATACAAACTCCTCTCTCCTGCAGGCACAGCAGTATATTCCCCTCCAGAGTACCACAGCAGGGGGAAGTACTACGGCAGGCCAGCGACAGTCTGGTCACCAGGGGTTCTAATGTTCACAATGTTGTGTGGACGTTTCCCTAGTGACTATGACCTGTTCCTGCTGCATTACAAGCACTGGTCCAAACCCGGCCTGTCAAAAGGTGAGATCTTCATCACAAAAAATAACTCATTCAGAATCATACAAAGTATCTTAGTTTTGATTAACATGATCAAATAGAGCAGATATAAAGTTTAAGGTTATCAAATGTCCTTCCCATCTTCCTGCACAGAATGCGGTCACCTCCTCAGGGCTCTCCTGCTTGAAAAGCCAAGCCGGCGACTTGGTCTGGGGCAAATCATGTCCCACAACTGGTTTAAGGTAGTGAACCTAAGACCAGCTAAAAATAATTAATTTCTCATGGGAAGGAACCAAAAAGTCAAACCCGTTCTTTTTTCCGTTTTGTTTCAGGTCGTTACATAAGACCACTCCAGTTGGCGTCTCTCATGCAGCTTTGCGTCTAGCGGGGCGAGCAAGCCTTGTGTAGCGTCTTGCGTCTTGGCTTGAGGAAGCAGTATTTGTGTCTGGCGGTACTGCTTCTGGAGGGATGTGTACATATTGTATATATGTGCATACTTCTTTTGGTTGCTTCTTTTGTTTTTCCCATCATGGCCACTCCATTCCTGAGGTTCTTACCACAGCTGTCCAAATACCAGAGCTCTCTGTCTCCACCTCCACAATGACAGCGTTCACATTCTCTGCCACACACAGCTACTAAAGAGGTTCCTGGCACTGCCAGTTCAGAGCTTCTTGTCATGGCTGCCCAGAGCTCTCTCTCTCAATGCCATTCAGGATGGTCATGGTTGGACCAGTGATTCAGATACACCGAAGATTCCTGTAATTGCAGTCTCAGAGGTTTATGTAACCGCTCCAACCAGAGTCAGCACCCAAGACCATCTCAGTCCCAGAGATACCCGTCTCAGCAACCTCGGTCTCCAGGCTTGCTGCCGTGTCTGTCCAGAGTCCAGACCCAAGGGCTGAAGGTTCAAATGCCAGAAATCATCTGTCCTGCTGCCAGAGGTTCCTGTTATAGCAGCCACAGAGGGTGCTTCCATTCGTGCCAGGTCTACAAGCTCCAAATATGAAATATAGAAAAAAAATGTTTTAATTTAGTCATTAAGCATATGCTTCAAACCAAAGTAGTTCACAAATGAGGAACATCACAAACAATTTATCATACAAGTCTCAAAAATACTCACAGGACCACAATGGCAAATTTCAGTCAGAGGTAAGTAGAAGCTAGAAGAGAAAATACAGTTAAGAAAAACGAGAAACTGTGTTTTAATAGAACTTGTTTACAGAAAGTGCCTTTTTACTTTATACCTCAGTGAGACTGAACCACCAGAAGCTGCCCGCTCGGAGACCATCGTGGAATGGAGAGAATATGATGCCAAATATCACAAAGTTGTATTCCTTTAAATATATTCATATGTAAAACCTGTAAAAGATGGCAAGACAAATATGTAAAATATTCCTCATTATTGATCTGTCCTGGTTAATATATCAATAGCTGTTGTAGTAGCCAATTAGTTGAAACATAGGGACATCACGGTATGGAACTCAAACATTGTAAGTGAATTATGGACTAGTTTATGGTGTTTTTGGCCTTTCATTGAATGAACAAGTGGGAAGGTGCTTTAATAGTAGTCTCAGCATTGTCTTGCTGCTCTAATTTACATAAAGTTCAACTTTAAACCAGGGGCCAGACCTGAAATGTTCAAGCGGGTGGTCCTACAGTAAACTGGGTGGGCAAAGTGTAGGATATGAAAACTGCATGTCAAAATACACCACAAAGGTTCAATACACAATACTTCTAAAGCATTGATAAACATTCATTTTAATGTCAACATTTACTAATACATTATTAAAATTAAAAGATCTGTTAACATTCGTACTAACAAAAATAACAACGAACAGTTGTATTTTTATAACCCAACGTTAACAAATATTGTACCAAATGTATTGTTAATGTTAGTTAATGCATTAATTAAAGGAAGTTTATTGTAAAGCATTACCTCAGTCTTCGCAGATGATTTCATGTAAATAAACAACATTGCTAATATGATGCTTCACACACGCTCGGCTCTGAAGTTTCTGATCGATAAATCCATCATCCGCAGGTGCTCGGGCTTCATTTGTGAGTTAGACGGTTCGGATTCAGTGCGAAGACTTGCCTTCAATTCAAACATTCAATGTATACTTTTTAAAGAATTGATCTGATTGATATTTGTTTCGCTATTTTTCTAATTCAACTCCACAAACGCGCGTATTTACGCCGCAAAGCATTGTGGGTGGGACTAACAGAAAGACCAATCATCATTCTGACAAGCGTATAGAGGGAAAAATGAAGAAACTGCCTATAATTGACCAAGAAAACTCGCGTTTAATATTTTTTAAATAAATATATAAAGTTATAATAGCCTCGCCACTGCTTTAAACATGTTTGTGTATGAACATAACAATTTTAGCACCCGAACAGGATTCTGCTGCTTATTTGGCAAAATTAATATAAGCTATCCTGTGTCTTAAGACAAGTTAAGTTAGAACAAGTTCAATAAAACATCTTTATTATATTTCTACGGTAGAGGAGAATAGCCAAACCAAAAAGAAACAAAGAAAACACAAAGTAACATTTATAAAACTGTACTCAGTGGAATGCGCACATGTGACTGGGGCTGGTGCCATCTAGTGCACAAATTATGATACTTAAATACAAACTATAACATTTGTATTCACAATATGTCTCTATTCGAACAAAATGCTGCACATCAATGTAATTATTAAAGGGGTCATATGATGCTATTTTAAAGATTATTATTTTGTGTATTTGGTGTAACAGAATATGTTGACATGCTTTAATGTTCAAAAAACATTATTTTTCAAATACTGTACATTATTGTATGTCATCTATGACTCAAATTGAAAGGTATTTGTTTGTGGTTAGTAAGATACATGCACAAAATGTATGCAGTGCATGCATAATTGTGCGTGCATCTATTAATCATTTAGAGTCTAATATCATCCCTAAATAGTGCCACTTCTTTTCTCTCCCAATACGGTAGGAAGTTAAATGAAACATGGAGGATGTTAACTGTGACAAGGTGATTGACAGGCCAGTTTACAGTGTAGCTATAGGACAGAGCGCTCTGTTAAAGACGCTAATGTATGCCGTGATAGTATGTCCCAAAGCTTGCCTACTCTTCTACTACACACTCAAAAGTGTGTACGTTTTCTTCATCACAAGAGTACATAGTATATATATAAGTAGGCAGTCTAGGCACATTGGGAAGCAGCATATGTAGTGCTGCATCCAAACTAACCAACTACCAAGTCAACACAAAATGGCATTCACAATCCATTTTACTTCCATAATGTGACATGTTTAAACGGCACTTTTAATGAGAAGAACTTCATGTTATATTCTGGAACTGGCTGGATTGTGAAAAGTGAATGTTAAGATACCAGAATGGAGGCGAATAGGATGTTGCCTTAGAAGTGAAGCAAGTTGTTACATTTTTATGAACGATTATGAAGACAAACATTTTCTTTGGTATAATGTGCAGGTAATCATTTACAATGCATAAAGGAACACTTTAACACTTTTTAAATGGGGTGTGTTTTCATGTTTTATAAAAATAATTACAGTAGTCTACTGTTTGAGGTTGACTGTATTACTGTATTACCAATATATTAAGAAAATAATTAATAGAATAAATACTAATAAAAATAATTAATAGACACTTGCAGTATTTATATTATTATGACAATAACAACATAAATATTGAATAGCCGTATATGCACTGATTTTCGGAATATGCAAAACTACAGTTTTTTTGCTCTAATAAATTGCACCGGTAACTACAGCGAAAAAAATGACATTTTGAAAACGATGTTAAAGCCATATTTCTTTTTTTTTCTCTGCAAATAAACAAATGGAGAACAAAAATACCTACCAGAACAGACCAAACCACAAATGTTTAAAATCAATAAATACTTTTTACTGTATGTAAGTGTGAAACCAAGCAGCTCCGTAACTGTGTACAAAAAAATATATCATTAAAATGATTAGTCAGGGCATAAGACAAGCAATACACAGGTATTGCATGGAAATGTTTTTGTCAAGGATCTTCCCTGGGAAGTTTCAGCGGGGGGTTTGTGCGAGCGCTCTCTGACAGTGGTACAGGAGGCAGTCTGGGAGAGCAGGATGAGGAGAGCCCAGCCACATGGCCAGAGCAGCGCCGTTCACTCTGCAGTGCAGAAGACAGGGGGCGCCGCTGAGCAGCCGACACGCTACGATTCCCTCGGAGCCTGCAGCGACAACACATGAACATGATTGATGGGCTGCTTTCCTAACTAGTGTGTAAATTATAGTCAGCAATGGTGCATGTTTGAAATGGAATGTAAAAGGTGCTAAAATGACTGCAAATCACATTAACGTAAGTGATGTTTTTTTACCAATGATGTCCACTACATGTAGCTGTAGGGCATCTTTGAGAGCGTTCAGGGTGGTTCTGAGTGGGTCCCTGGCATCTGAGCAGTTTCAGATTCTGTTTGACGTCATGAGACCGAGACAGCCAGAGTTTCCCATATTCCTCTGTGGTTACGACCAAAGGCCTGTGTGTGACAGAGAAAAATGAGTCTCATACAGTCAGAAAGCTCCAAACATGGTGAAATACTTTGAGGTTGTTGGTTGTTATTTGTATTTCACTTTCATTTTATATTCAGTAGAATTTTTTTTTTTTTTTTTAGAAAATGCAACCTAAAATCTTTTGCAATGTGCAGGTCTTTAACCTCAGTGGAAAATTCACCTTCAGAAGATTATTTAGGATGATTTTTATCTCCAAATAGGTGAAATATTCTTTACATAAAGCAAACAAACAATATAGATATGAAATATGTATATCAAAGTGTATAATTGTGTATATATATTATAATAGTTAACTAAAACTAAAACTATTATAAAAAAAACACTTTACTTACATGAAATAAAATAAAAGTTAACTGAAATAAAATTAAATATTAAAAAACAAACATTATATTCCAGAATTAGGCAGCATTAACTAATACAGATTAAAATGACAAAAACACACCCCAAAATTACTAAAGCTTTAAATAAGATTAAAACGTAGAAATCATAAAAATAAAAAATAATTCAAAATATTAATAAAAATTACAATAGTATCTCAATACTAAAATAACACTGGTAATTAAAATAAATTACTCCATTCTTTACTTTCATTTAACAGGTTACAAAAAGTTTATTTCAGTGAATGCTGTTTTTAAAAAACAAAACAAAAATCACAGTTTTAAATGATCAGCCATTAAATTAGTTATTGGGTCACAGCTTAAAAACAAATGATCTACAATCAATATTTTAAAAATATATTTATTTATACTAAATCAAATCAAGTATTGCTTTATTTCTTTAGTAATCATTTCTTAATTATGTAATAAACAATGAGTCTTAATAGTTGAAAACTAATGTAAAGTAGTTTGATGTAGTTTCAGACACGCATTACCTGATGAAGTCTGCTGTTGACAGTGTCCCAGAGAAAGGGAGAGTGTTTGTGTGTCCCGGTTGTGTTTGATAAGAGACGGTCCCGGTAAAGGACACGTTTGTGTGAGGGTCGTCCATCAGCAGAGCATAATGACACACAGACGTACTGTTGCCCTCCAGACAGTTCATGACGTTCCCTCTCAAACTCGCCGTCTAAGACAGAAGATCATTTGCGGTTATTAAATATGCCTTTTATAATACTATATAATACTATAAAAATATTTAGCGACACACCTCCAGCTCCTCACAGGTCAGCTGCACTGCAACATCTTTTATTACAGTTTCCGTGCAGTTGGATATAAAGATCATAAGCAGCAAAGCTTCATCTCTGAACAGGCGGCAGGAGGACAGAGACAGGCTGGGGTCAGAGGTCAGGCTGGAGACATCAGAGTGAGGTAGGTCTTTGAGGTCAGCGGGTAACAGTGTGGTCAGATCTGAAGACCCGGGTGGAGGATGTTTATCCTGGATCGTGTTGGGCCGCACTATAACCATATCGCCACCCAGTATGTGAGAGGTTTTTGCGCGTCTGTCTTCTTTAGTATCTTGCAAGACAAATATGTAAAATATTCCTCATTATTGATCTGTCCTGGTTAATATATCAATAGCTGTTGTAGTAGCCAATTAGTTGAAACATAGGGACATCACGGTATGGAACTCAAACATTGTAAGTGAATTATGGACTAGTTTATGGTGTTTTTGGCCTTTCATTGAATGAACAAGTGGGAAGGTGCTTTAATAGTAGTCTCAGCATTGTCTTGCTGCTCTAATTTACATAAAGTTCAACTTTAAACCAGGGGCCAGACCTGAAATGTTCAAGCGGGTGGTCCTACATTAAACTGGGTGGGCAAAGTGTAGGATATGAAAACTGCATGTCAAAATACAGCACAAAGGTTCAATACACAATACTTCTAAAGCATTGATAAACATTCATTTTAATGTCAACATTTACTAATACATTATTAAAATTAAAAGATCTGTTAACATTCGTACTAACAAAAATAACAACGAACAGTTGTATTTTTATAACCCAACGTTAACAAATATTGTACCAAATGTATTGTTAATGTTAGTTAATGCATTAATTAAAGGAAGTTTATTGTAAAGCATTACCTCAGTCTTCGCAGATGATTTCATGTAAATAAACAACATTGCTAATATGATGCTTCACACACGCTCGGCTCTGAAGTTTCTGATCGATAAATCCATCATCCGCAGGTGCTCGGGCTTCATTTGTGAGTTAGACGGTTCGGATTCAGTGCGAAGACTTGCCTTCAATTCAAACATTCAATGTATACTTTTTAAAGAATTGATCTGATTGATATTTGTTTCGCTATTTTTCTAATTCAACTCCACAAACGCGCGTATTTACGCCGCAAAGCATTGTGGGTGGGACTAACAGAAAGACCAATCATCATTCTGACAAGCGTATAGAGGGAAAAATGAAGAAACTGCCTATAATTGACCAAGAAAACTCGCGTTTAATATTTTTTAAATAAATATATAAAGTTATAATAGCCTCGCCACTGCTTTAAACATGTTTGTGTATGAACATAACAATTTTAGCACCCGAACAGGATTCTGCTGCTTATTTGGCAAAATTAATATAAGCTATCCTGTGTCTTAAGACAAGTTAAGTTAGAACAAGTTCAATAAAACATCTTTATTATATTTCTACGGTAGAGGAGAATAGCCAAACCAAAAAGAAACAAAGAAAACACAAAGTAACATTTATAAAACTGTACTCAGTGGAATGCGCACATGTGACTGGGGCTGGTGCCATCTAGTGCACAAATTATGATACTTAAATACAAACTATAACATTTGTATTCACAATATGTCTCTATTCGAACAAAATGCTGCACATCAATGTAATTATTAAAGGGGTCATATGATGCTATTTTAAAGATTATTATTTTGTGTATTTGGTGTAACAGAATATGTTGACATGCTTTAATGTTCAAAAAACATTATTTTTCAAATACTGTACATTATTGTATGTCATCTATGACTCAAATTGAAAGGTATTTGTTTGTGGTTAGTAAGATACATGCACAAAATGTATGCAGTGCATGCATAATTGTGCGTGCATCTATTAATCATTTAGAGTCTAATATCATCCCTAAATAGTGCCACTTCTTTTCTCTCCCAATACGGTAGGAAGTTAAATGAAACATGGAGGATGTTAACTGTGACAAGGTGATTGACAGGCCAGTTTACAGTGTAGCTATAGGACAGAGCGCTCTGTTAAAGACGCTAATGTATGCCGTGATAGTATGTCCCAAAGCTTGCCTACTCTTCTACTACACACTCAAAAGTGTGTACGTTTTCTTCATCACAAGAGTACATAGTATATATATAAGTAGGCAGTCTAGGCACATTGGGAAGCAGCATATGTAGTGCTGCATCCAAACTAACCAACTACCAAGTCAACACAAAATGGCATTCACAATCCATTTTACTTCCATAATGTGACATGTTTAAACGGCACTTTTAATGAGAAGAACTTCATGTTATATTCTGGAACTGGCTGGATTGTGAAAAGTGAATGTTAAGATACCAGAATGGAGGCGAATAGGATGTTGCCTTAGAAGTGAAGCAAGTTGTTACATTTTTATGAACGATTATGAAGACAAACATTTTCTTTGGTATAATGTGCAGGTAATCATTTACAATGCATAAAGGAACACTTTTTAAAAAAGTAAATGGGGTGTGTTTTCATGTTTTATAAAAATAATTACAGTAGTCTACTGTTTGAGGTTGACTGTATTACCTAACTATGAATATATTAAGAAAATAATTAATAGAATAAATACTAATAAAAATAATTAATAGACACTTGCAGTATTTATATTATTATGACAATAACAACATAAATATTGAATAGCCGTATATGCACTGATTTTCGGAATATGCAAAACTACAGTTTTTTTGCTCTAATAAATTGCACCGGTAACTACAGCGAAAAAAATGACATTTTGAAAACGATGTTAAAGCCATATTTCTTTTTTTTTCTCTGCAAATAAACAAATGGAGAACAAAAATACCTACCAGAACAGACCAAACCACAAATGTTTAAAATCAATAAATACTTTTTACTGTATGTAAGTGTGAAACCAAGCAGCTCCGTAACTGTGTACAAAAAAATATATCATTAAAATGATTAGTCAGGGCATAAGACAAGCAATACACAGGTATTGCATGGAAATGTTTTTGTCAAGGATCTTCCCTGGGAAGTTTCAGCGGGGGGTTTGTGCGAGCGCTCTCTGACAGTGGTACAGGAGGCAGTCTGGGAGAGCAGGATGAGGAGAGCCCAGCCACATGGCCAGAGCAGCGCCGTTCACTCTGCAGTGCAGAAGACAGGGGGCGCCGCTGAGCAGCCGACACGCTACGATTCCCTCGGAGCCTGCAGCGACAACACATGAACATGATTGATGGGCTGCTTTCCTAACTAGTGTGTAAATTATAGTCAGCAATGGTGCATGTTTGAAATGGAATGTAAAAGGTGCTAAAATGACTGCAAATCACATTAACGTAAGTGATGTTTTTTTACCAATGATGTCCACTACATGTAGCTGTAGGGCATCTTTGAGAGCGTTCAGGGTGGTTCTGAGTGGGTCCCTGGCATCTGAGCAGTTTCAGATTCTGTTTGACGTCATGAGACCGAGACAGCCAGAGTTTCCCATATTCCTCTGTGGTTACGACCAAAGGCCTGTGTGTGACAGAGAAAAATGAGTCTCATACAGTCAGAAAGCTCCAAACATGGTGAAATACTTTGAGGTTGTTGGTTGTTATTTGTATTTCACTTTCATTTTATATTCAGTAGAATTTTTTTTTTTTTTATTAGAAACTGCAACCTGAAATCTGTTGCAATGTGCAGGTCTTTAACCTCAGTGGAAAATTCACCTTCAGAAGATTATTTAGGATGATTTTTATCTCCAAATAGGTGAAATATTCTTTACATAAAGCAAACAAACAATATAGATATGAAATATGTATATCAAAGTGTATAATTGTGTATATATATTATAATAGTTAACTAAAACTAAAACTATTATAAAAAAAACACTTTACTTACATGAAATAAAATAAAAGTTAACTGAAATAAAATTAAATATTAAAAAACAAACATTATATTCCAGAATTAGGCAGCATTAACTAATACAGATTAAAATGACAAAAACACACCCCAAAATTACTAAAGCTTTAAATAAGATTAAAACGTAGAAATCATAAAAATAAAAAATAATTCAAAATATTAATAAAAATTACAATAGTATCTCAATACTAAAATAACACTGGTAATTAAAATAAATTACTCCATTCTTTACTTTCATTTAACAGGTTACAAAAAGTTTATTTCAGTGAATGCTGTTTTTAAAAAACAAAACAAAAATCACAGTTTTAAATGATCAGCCATTAAATTAGTTATTGGGTCACAGCTTAAAAACAAATGATCTACAATCAATATTTTAAAAATATATTTATTTATACTAAATCAAATCAAGTATTGCTTTATTTCTTTAGTAATCATTTCTTAATTATGTAATAAACAATGAGTCTTAATAGTTGAAAACTAATGTAAAGTAGTTTGATGTAGTTTCAGACATGCATTACCTGATGAAGTCTGCTGTTGACAGTGTCCCAGAGAAAGGGAGAGTGTTTGTGTGTCCCGGTTGTGTTTGATAAGAGACGGTCCCGGTAAAGGACACGTTTGTGTGAGGGTCGTCCATCAGCAGAGCATAATGACACACAGACGTACTGTTGCCCTCCAGACAGTTCATGACGTTCCCTCTCAAACTCGCCGTCTAAGACAGAAGATCATTTGCGGTTATTAAATATGCCTTTTATAATACTATATAATACTATAAAAATATTTAGCGACACACCTCCAGCTCCTCACAGGTCAGCTGCACTGCAACATCTTTTATTACAGTTTCCGTGCAGTTGGATATAAAGATCATAAGCAGCAAAGCTTCATCTCTGAACAGGCGGCAGGAGGACAGAGACAGGCTGGGGTCAGAGGTCAGGCTGGAGACATCAGAGTGAGGTAGGTCTTTGAGGTCAGCGGGTAACAGTGTGGTCAGATCTGAAGACCCGGGTGGAGGATGTTTATCCTGGATCGTGTTGGGCCGCACTATAACCATATCGCCACCCAGTATGTGAGAGGTTTTTGCGCGTCTGTCTTCTTTAGTATCTTTGTTTTGAGCCGGACCATTGGCTGTAGAGGATTTGGGGGTGTGGCCAAAAGCAGATATGGATGTGGCTGGCTCCTCCTCCAGCAAACTGCCGTACAGGAAGCTGTCGGTCGTGCTACGCGAGGAGCGAGAGGAGGAGTCGGAAGACCTCTCGCTGGTACCTGATGACGATGATGATGATGATTCGTATGCGCGGGGCTTTTTTCTGAAGCGAGGGGGCGGGGCTTCAGATTTTCCCAGCTGAGAGGAAACAGAACAGTTGGCATTTACACTACAAATGCAATGCATGTGATCTGAGTGAGTGGATATTTAGTACCATCAATACAAGATGGTAAGATAAATGTTCTATGACTCTCAAAATCCATCATTTTCTCACCAGAGACATGGCGCTCCCGGCTCCCAAACCAACAAACAGAGAGGAAGCCAGCTGCTGTTTGTCCTGGTTTTGTGTCGAGGGCTCCAGCTGTGGCTCTAATCTCTCTGCTGCCTCCTGTTGGCCGGAGGGCTGAACTGCAGCACTGGGTTCATCCACCGGAGGTGCTGTTGTTTCTTTTTGTTGAAGATACCCATCTTTCCCCCAAACTCTCTTTACACCCTCAAGAATCAGAGTGCTGGAGCTGAAATGATACATAAAGTTAATATTCAAACGTACCATGTATACACTACCGATCAAAAATTTTACATATTTTTGAAAGAAGTCTCTTATGCACACCAAGAGGCCGTTCACACAGAACTCGTCTTTGCGTCTAAAAGCGCTCAGGAATGTTTTTTTAAAAAGCACAGCCCAGATCGCGGGGGTCTCAAGATGCGCTTTTGAGACGTGATGCAATAAAGGAAATAACAGAAAATAGCAAAACAGCAGGATATATAGAGAATATCAGGCTCTTTTTTAAAGAAACTGGTTGTGATAATCGCTTGAAGAAATGTTACACAGTTCAGGGTTATCCAGACACATCCACTATGAGTGCCTCCTCTGCCATGTTGTCATGCCAACCTGCTATTGCTACTGTCATGCCAACCTGCTATTGTCATGCCAACCTGCTATTGCTACTGTCATGCCAACCTGCTATTGCTACTGTCATGCCAACCTGCTATTGTAAACAGAAGCTAGCAAGGCTTGCCCCGCCTCCAGGGTCTTCTGATTGGTCCACTGTTTTGGAACTGACATTGATGAGCAGCGCTGCATGTAATAGTTGAAATTTGAAACTTGGCACAGCGTATTAAAAACACGGCGCTCATGTAAGAGACGCTGCAAAAGATGCATAAAAAAACAGTAATATTGTGAAAAACTTTTATAACTTAAAATAACTGTTTTCTATTTTAATATATATTAAAATGTAATTTATTCCTGCAAAGCTGAATTTTCAGCATTATTACTCCAGTTTTCAGTGTCACATGATCCTTCAGAAATCATTCTCATATGTGACCCTGGAGCACAAAAGCAGTGTTAAGTCGCTGGGGTAATGTAATAGTTGAAATTTGAAACTTGGCACAGCGTATTAAAAACACGGCGCTCATGTAAGAGACGCTGCAAAAGATGCATAAAAAAACAGTAATATTGTGAAAAACTTTTATAACTTAAAATAACTGTTTTCTATTTTAATATATATTAAAATGTAATTTATTCCTGCAAAGCTGAATTTTCAGCATTATTACTCCAGTTTTCAGTGTCACATGATCCTTCAGAAATCATTCTCATATGTGACCCTGGAGCACAAAAGCAGTGTTAAGTCGCTGGGGTATATTTGTAGCAATAGCCAACAATACATTGTATGGGTCAAAATGATTGATTTTTCTTTTATGCCAAAAATCATTAGCATATTAAGTAAAGATCATGTTCCATGAAGATATTTTGTAAATTTCCTACAGTAAATATATCAAAACTTAATTTTGGATTAGTAATATGCATTGATGATGTAGAAATCTCAATTTCGAAAAATTGACCCTTATGACTGGTTTTGTGGTCCAGGGTCACATTTCACAATATTACTGTATTTTTTTTGATGAGCACAAGATTTTTTGGTGAGCACAAGAGACTTATTTCAAACAAATCTTACAATGTAAATAATATGCTACACCACCAAATGTCTAGATGTCTTGTTCACTTAAAGTGGTCTAAATCTGAATGTTTAGTGTAAAAACATCCTTAAAGGTACACTATGTAACTTTCTTGTTCAAAATGTACAAAATTGATATAATGAGTTTTGTTTATTAACTGCTAGAGAGCCAAAAGTTACATAGTGTAGCTTTAATTAGATTAATTTGTCATAATTGGGACAAGCAATCAGGCCTGTTACCTCCATGCCGTCCCAGGGGGCTCCACGGGGCAGGACCCACTCATAGAGCTGTGAGTCCTGGCTGAGCTGACGCAGCTCCTGGGCCTGCTGACGGAGCACCGTGTCCTGGGAGGACGAAAGACCCTCAGCCAGGTCCAGAATCAAGTCTGGCTGGCCCTCAGAGATCTTGGTCAGCGCAGAAAGAATCCAGACCCGTGTCTCTGAGCTCACGCTTCTCTGATCCAGCAGCTGCGTCAGGAGCCGGATGACCTCGCGCTGGTCCACAGACTCTTGGAGGTGAGCGTATTCTCCAAGCACCTGAGCGAGCACACACACACACACACACACACACACACACACACCGGTGAACAAATATCTCTTGTGAGTTTCCTGAAGAACACTGATTTAATTTGCAGTTCATTCCAGAAGGGTTTGATGTTAGCATGTTTCTAAGCTAATGACTCAGCTGATCACATCTACCTATAGGAATACGACACCTATCGCGGCATTCCTATATAAGCTCTATTCAGTATTATTCGGCAGCTTTTCAGCTTGCTCAGGAGCAAATTACCCTCCTCCATCCCCAGCTCCACCTTTCGCCACATTCAGGAGTTGGCTTTCTGATATTCCTTGCTAATCAGACTCCTTTATCTTGAATAAAGTGTTACACTTAAATATCATTTAGTACATTAATGATATCTGCCTTGTTCTGTTCTGTTAACCAATTGAAAATTATTTAAAAATTGATTTAAAATGAATTTAAGACAGTTAAAAATAGGAAATGATTACACATACATAAAATACAGTGCACTCAGTTCGAACATCGCACAGTGCTCATTTAATAAATGCACAGCTAAACAGATGAGTTTTGAGTCTAGATTTAAATGTGACTAATATTTTAGCACATCTGATCTCTTCTGGAAGCTGATTCCAACTGCGGGTGGCATAATAACTAAAAGCAGTATGTAAAAGTATGCAATTTATATTTCTATGACAGGTTTAAAAGGATTTCATCCATCCAAGGAGTCATCCGTTTTTTTTAATACCAATTATAATGCTGTATTTTACATTAGCGTAAATGTTTTTAAAAATTTACATTAAAATATCAAAATATTTCATATTAAACTATAAATAAAATTCAATAATATTTAATATAATAATATTACATTTGTTATCTGTCATAGCATAAAAATTTTAAAATATATATATAATGTTAAATGAAATTAGTTATCATTAATTAATACTAAAGAGTAAATGGTTAATAAATAATTATTTATTAAATTAATTAATTTAATATTAATATGAAATAATTTTATAATGCTCAGTTGGGTTTTAAAAGACAATTAATATTCAGAAAATATCAGATGAAAACTGAATTGAGCTAAATAATGACACTATTGTCTTCTGTAGAGCTGCTTTACAGCTCAAACTGAAGTTGTTTCAAGATTGATGAATTTTGCAGCATTAATACTGTTATTTTCTTCAATTTTGTCAACTATTACCGTGAAAACACTTCGAAACAATCTGTACTGTATTAAGTGCGATATAAATAAATGTGACTTGACTTGGCTTCATAAAAAAATTAATGTGTCCTAATCAGTGTTGGACAGTAACACATTACTTAATAACGCGTTACTGTAATTTGATTACTTTTTTAGTAACGGACTAATTTAACGCGTTACAATTTTCAAAATAGTAATTAGAGTATAGATACAAGCTGAGGTCTCTATACGTTACTGCCGCGTTACATTGCTGACAGAATGCAGTGTTTTATAATCTGGAGATTGTAAAAAGGATGTAGCACACGCACCGTCGAGTCTAGTGCCAGTGGATTAGAGACCTGCTCCCGCGAGACCCGACGCAACACAGTGAGAGACTTGTGTGTGTGCGCGGGATGCGGCAGAATAAAATGATTCATGGGACTCCTGCAAAATAGAAATATCTAAACATAAAATATCTAAAACAAATAAATTGTTATTCATCTATTGCACAAAAGCTAAATGAACTAATATAAAATATAAAGGATTAACAGGTGCAAGCGTATGCAGAGTTTCTATTTAGGCTATAACACGTGTTTGCAGCGTTGAGCAATGCAGTGCTGAAATGTGCGTGCTCACGAATCCTCTCATTATAACACACGGATTGTAGACATTGTGAAAGATTCATTATGCATATATTTATTGTGTTATAACAGAGATTTGTGAGATTGCGATGAACTGAGATGTCTTTTAGAGATTATTAATGCAGCGCTCTTTGCTGGTATTCTGCCAAACCATGCACGCAGCAGCCGCTTGCTTTAGTTAAAAATAACAGCGTTCTGTGAATGTTGATGCTTTAATAACAAATATTTATCGGGAGCGTGTATGCTGGGATTTCATACATTTCATGGAGAAAAAAGTAACGTAACTATTAATGTAACTAATTACTTTTGAAATAAAGTAATCAGAACAGTAACGTGATTACTTTTAAAAGGAGTAATCAGTAATTTGATTACATTTTCAGAGTAACTTGCCCAACACTGCTCCTAATTGATTAATAATAAATACAAACTGGCTTTTTGGGTAAATAAATGCCAACTGATCTTAAAGTGCAAATTGTAAAATCCAACTAATGAATAAATGAATTTTCACTTCATCATGAAATTTCACTGTCAGAAATTTATTTAGGATGACAAAGTTTTTTGTCAAGATGCGCATTAAATATCGCATGCGATTTATCGTGCAGCCCTACTCGTAAATAAATGTATTTTTGGGATTATATATATATTTTTTCCTGAATATTTTTTCCTCAATTTACCCACCTTAATCAGGTGTTTTAAAATTAAATTTGAAGCCTGTCACTAGCATTTGAATCAGCCTTATAGCAGAATTTATTTTGTGAATCATCAGTGTATCAAAAAACATTGTTTTTGTGTGTGTGTGTGTGTGTGTGTGTGTGTAGATACAGTGGGTACGGAAAGTATTCAGACCCCCTTAAATTTTTCACTCTTTGTTATATTGCAGCCATTTGCTAAAATCATTTAAGTACATTTTTTTTCCTCAGTGTACACACAGCACCCCATATTGACAGAAAAACACAGAATCGTTGACATTTTTGCAGATTTATTAAAAAAGAAAAACTGAAATATCACATGGCCCTAAGTATTCAGACCCTTTGCTCAGTATTTAATAGAAGCACCCTTTTGATCTAATACAGCCATGAGTCTTTTTGGGAAAGATGCAACAAGTTTTTCACACCTGGATTTGGGTATCCTCTGCCATTCCTCCTTGCAGATCCTCTCCAGTTCTGTCAGGTTGGATGGTAAACGTTGGTGGACAGCCATTTTTAGGTCTCTCCAGAGATGCTCAATTGGGTTTAAGTCAGGGCTCTGGCTGGGCCATTCAAGAACAGTCACAGAGTTGTTGTGAAGCCACTCCTTCGTTATTTTAGCAGAGTGATTAGGGTCATTGTATTGTTGGAAGGTAAACCTTCGGCCCAGTCTGAAGTCCTGAGCACTCTGGAGAAGGTTTTCATCCAGCATATCCCTGTACTTGGCCGCATTCATCTTTCCCTCAATTGCAACCAGTCGTCCTGTCCCTGCAGCTGAAAAACACCCCCACAGACGGCCAGCTCTAGGAAGGGTTCTGGTCGTCCCAAACGTCTTCCATTTAAGGATTATGGAGGCCACTGTGCTCTTAGGAACCTTAAGTGCAGCAGAATTTTTTTTGTAACCTTGGCCAGATCTGTGCTTTGCCACAATTCTGTCTCTGAGCTCTTCAGTCAGTTCCTTTGACCTCATGATTCTCTTTTGCTCTGACATGCACTGTGAGCTGTAAGGTCTTATATAGTCAGGTGTGTGGCTTTCCTAATCAAGTCCAATCAGTATAATCAAACACAGCTGGACTCAAATGAAGGTGTAGAACCATCTCAAGGATGATCAGAAGAAATGGACAGCACCTGAGTTAAATATATGAGTGTCACAGCAAAGGGTCTGAATACTTAGGACCATGTGATATTTCAGTTTTTCTTTTTTAATAAATCTGCAAAAATGTCTTCTGTGTGTCAAACAATTCTGTGTTTTTCTGTCAATATGGGGTGCTGTGTGTACATTAATGAGGAAAAAAAATTAACTTAAATGATTTTAGCAAAAGGCTGCAATATAACAAAGAGTGAAAAATTTAAGGGGGTCTGAATACTTTCCGTACCCACTGTATATATAGTCGTACACACCCAGCTCATGAGCTGTAAGAAGCGCTGGGGCAGATGAGAAGCGTCTCCCTTCAGCACAGTCAGATACGAGTCGACAGCATAAAGCCGTTTAACTGATCATCTTCCTCTTTAGACTCTGAGCCTGAGACAAAAACATCAGAAATATAAAACAACACACCTTCTACAACAGTTTACAGCTCTTAGATTGTCTATACTTCTCGTTTACCCTCCGCCAGCAGTCGCAGGAAGTTGTTTGGGACGTCCTGTTGCAGCAAATCTCCACCCGTGGAAAAAACATCATTCATTGTCTGAATGAACCACGAGTTATCTGGAGCAAACGTAAGGGTTTTCATAGGAACATAACAGCTGACATTCAACAAATATTTGTTCATTTTATAGAAAGTACAGCATTGTTCATAAACTCTGTTTAATGAAAAGGATATTTTTCAGCAAGCTCTGCGACTTTTCCAACCAGATGGATGATGGTGTGCTCGTCGTTGCAACCGTGCAGGAAGTCCAGCATCTTCTCAACGATCACGGTCACATTCTGAGCATTTGTGATCCTGAACAGCAATTCAAGAGTCTGAGAGAGAAGAAAGAGGAAGAGATGAACACAAGACCCTTGATTTGTTGGGAATTATGAATCTGATATTAAATCAATTATTGAGCTGATCTGTGCTATTTGTGAGAGCATCACATTGGTTTACCAGGTTTTGATGTTTTAGAAGTTGGATTTTCTCTGTGCTTTTGTTGTTGTTATGACATAAAATAATAGATATGAATTGAAAATTTGAAATTATGACACATAATTCATAATTATGAAATAAAAAGTCATATTTATGACCTAAAAAAGTCATTATTCTGATTTTAAAAAGTTGAAATTATGACATCATCAGTCAATAGTTATGGTTTTTCTCACAATTATGACAAATTTAGGTCATTACCTCTCTTTTAATAGTGAAATCTGTGTGGTCCAAACACTCAATGATGGTCATCTGATGCTGCAGGGCGAGTTTAGCATCATGCTGGACGACATACGTCAAGGCTTTCAAACCTGAAAACGCACCAATATGCAAACAGTTCAAGTGAGTTCAGGTTAACTAACTAGTGAAAACCAAAAGCAGGAATTTTACCAAGATATTTGAGGTTGATCTTCGGAGACAGAACAAAATTCCCAATGCATCTCGCGGCTTTTTCCAGCAGCTCAGCTTTGGGGTGGATGGTGTAGACGGCCTTCACACACTCATACAGGATTGCTGAAACAGACATGATGTGTTAGCAGCATTCATTTTGCTGACAACGTATCGTTCACTCATTAGAAGAGATGATTTTCGATGATTAGTTGTTCTTATGTTAAAAAGCAGAAATAAAACAAACAAACAAAAACAATTCTGCATAGTGCTTATCAGACACTTACAAAACAACAACTATCTGTAACTAGATACTAAAATTATTAAAGCTATATATATATATATATATATATATACAGTAGTCAACATTTGAAGTGGATCAAAACCTTTCATCAAAGTTGTCCTAAAACCAAAGCAATTTCCTGTTCTTGTCTTAGAACAACTTTGATGAACTTTTTTGATCCACTTCAAATGTTGACTACTGTATATATATGTAGCTGGGGGTGCTGGGGGTGTGTGTGTGGGGGGGGGCTGGTTCACTTACGTCGGTGCTCGTGCTGGGGCTGGTGTTGTTTGGATGCCGATTTTGGAAAGTTTTTGCTGGGATGAGCATTTAAAAAAATCTGAAATTCGATTTTGCGCCATTATCTCCTTGTATTAAAGTTAATCTTGTTCGCATTCTGTACAGTTCATGTCTGATACCACGCGCCAGCATCACGTGTTCACGAGGATTAGGCTAATCATCCCATATAGAAAACATCACAAGTAAAATGAATCATGTTTATAAAGATAAACATGGGTTTATTATAGCCCACTTACAATTTACATTTCAGAGATCATTACAAATAAATTATTAAATGCTAAAACTGAATAAATTTAAATGAACAAACTTGGCATTGCATTTGCAACCATGTGAAAACAGGGG